CACACACACACACACACACACACACACACACACACACACACACACACACACACCTGCTAAATCTGGACTCAAGCACAGAACTCTTTCTCTGGTACTGAGAAAGAAACAGTTCATTTTTGACACCCTCACTGTCCTGGAGCTGTTTATGTGCCTGTCCTCCTGCAGAGTATGAAATCCAGAGGTCTCCCTGCGGTACCTGTGGGGCTCTATACCTGCCTGCCACGTAGGAAGTGCTCTGTGAACGTATGCTTAACAGAACCTCAAGCGGCTCCCACAAGCAGCCAAGCCCAGCGTTGTGCTTCCCAGACATTAATGTGCAACCCCACACTCAACTGCTAATAGAGAGCCTGGGGTGGGGCCTGAGATTCTGTATTTCCCACAAACTCCCAGGTGATGCTGACGTTGCTTGCTGGGACCCACCTGGAGCAGGATTTTGCTAAACACGTTCTCCCGTAGCTGGATCCCCCAGAGGCTCCCTGGGCCACTGAGTGGTGCTGACAGACACACAGGGTCAACCAGCATCTGCCGTGTGCTGACCACGTCCAGGCCCTCCGCTAGGGCGTCAGGGTTTGCAGAAAGACTGTGTCTTGGTCTCTGCTCTCCTGGAGCTTGGTTAACAGGATTCTCAGGAAGGACTGAAACCCACCAAACTCCCTGTCCCTACGTTAATCAATTCCAGGGCCAGGCACATTTCCCGGTGCTGCGTTAGACAATACTGAGAAACAAAGTAAAAATAACCTAGCTGCCTGCTCCAGGAAATAACTGCTCCTGCAAGATAAAACTGTGAACCAACTAAGCTTACTTATCAAGACTAATAGCTTTGTAAAAAATTAATGAAACAGAAGCCTCAATTAAATACAGTGGGAGACCGGAAGGGGGAGCTTTCATGTCCTGTGATGATAGAGACCAACAGGAAGAAGACAGACTTCTCTTCTTTCCTGGGAAGGATTCAGCCAGTGAAAAGCCGTGGACTCGGGCTTCCCTGGTGGTGCAGTGGTTAAGAATCCACATCCCAACGCAGGGGACACGGGTTCGATCCCTGGTCCGGGAAGATCTCACATGCTGCAGAGCAACTAAGCCCATGTGCCAGAACTACTGAGCCTGTGCTCTAGAGCCTGCAAGTCACAACTACTGAGCCCGTGAGCCTAGAGCCCGTGCTCTGCAACAAGAGAAGCCACCACAGTGAGAAGCCCACGCACCACAATGAAGAGTAGTCCCCGCTCGCCACAACTAGAGAAAGCCCACGTGCAGCAACGAAGACCCAACGCAGCCAAAACTAAATAAATTAAATAAATAAATTTAAAAAAAGCGCCATGAACTCTGTTTAATCCTCCCAACTTCCTTTTCCACTCTGTAAAAGGGTTCTCCTTGCCCTGCTGTGTGGGGACTTCCGCATGCCTTGCCATGGTCCACTCGCTATGGTTGCAGGCAAAAAAAGCACAGGGGCAGCAGCTCGCTCACCTGCTCTTTCCGGAAGGAAGCCTTGCCGGTTTCCTCCACGACCGCTGCCAAGGTGTGTCCCCTCCCATCTTAAGGTGGGTCTTTTAAGGTGGAAAACTAGTTATGACATAATAGCTTAGGGTTGGTAAGCCCAGCGAGGTAAGGGTGTTAAAGCAAGTCCTAGTGAGCAAGCTGTTGGCCTGAAACAAATAGACTGCCAGGTATTTCTCCAGCAAAGATGGGTTCATTGAGGATCAGCAGAGAACTGCAATTCAGGGTCTGCAACCATGGCGAGGTTGGACCACTCACCCTGGACCCTGAAACCCTCTAAGGACCGTTCCCCAGTTTCTTCATTTTGAGACGGTATAGAGATTCTGTCAAGTTGGGGTTCTCCCTTGCTGCAGTAGGTCTAATAAACTTAGCATTGCTGGGTGGCAGGTATTTCTGATGGTCTTGGCAGACGAGACAATGATCACTTACGATAGAGTGAGAAGTGCTGAGACACAGGTAGGTCTGTGAGAGGGACACCAAACCCACTTTGGCAACATGTGAGCTGATCTCAGAGGAGGAGTGAGAGCTGGCCACTCACTAAGGAAGGGGAGTAGAGCAGAGCGAGCTGAGGGGAAGGCGCACCTGTGCAGTGAGTGAAAGGTGTGCCTGGGTACAGAGTCAGGACTTCAGCCTGTGGGCAAGAGGGACCTGCGGAAAGCTTCTGAGCAGAAGGACCAAATCAAGGGTATATTTTAGGAAAATCTGTCTGAGGTCAGTGCAGCTGTCCCTCAAGCAGCCTCTGGATAGCTTCAAGTGCAAAGGCTGGCCCATGCATGAAGAAGAACACGGGGTGCCTGGGGAAAGGCATGGCGGCCAGAACGAGGGTTTTAATCTTTGTTGCTGCCAGTGTGTATGAGGCTTGGGCTCTGGTGCGATTGGGAGAAAGGCAGTGGGGATCCAGGGCTCAAGGCCTCGAAGACCCAGCTGATGGTATCGCAGAGCCCTGGAGCCAGCATGGTTCTGAGCAGCCATCGGGGGGACCCACAAGGGTTAAGCCCTGGCAAGCAGAGTCTCCCTACGCCCCACCTTCCTGCTGCTCACAGGGGCTGGACGAGGTGCTAAGACAGTGTGGGAAGGGGCTCTTGCAGTGTAAGTGCCCACAACAGAGCCCTCTGTGGGTGGAGATTACTGATGGCTGAGGAAAGAAAACAGGAAGTGGGCCTTAAAGGACTGCCAGCATTCAGTGCACCCACTGACTGTGCTGCACCTCTAGTTTCCACATGCTGGTGGTCTCCTCTCATCCTCTCCCTCCTTCCCCCTCTCTTCCCTTCCCTCTAGCACGCCAGGCCTAGCACTTGTAAAAGAATCTTCTTTTTCTTGCAGGGAGGGGACATATTACAAGGAAAGAATCCACTCCCACCCTGGCCTTGCACCTGCTGGCCACACCATCTTGGGAGTGTGTCCCTGCCAGCAGTGTGGGAGGCCTAGGATCTTCTTGCAGCCAGGAGAGGCCCCTTCATGGAGAAAGAGCTGGCTGAGTTCCAGAGTTCTCAGGCTTCTTGGGTGTGGGCCCCAAGGCCCTCCTCAAAGCCCCCACTTGCAGGCAGCTCTCAAATTTGGAGACTCCAGGCTGCAAAGCCCACGCCGCTGCCCATGGGACTCCCTCTGGCCTCGACTTCCCTTAAGAGGCCTGTGTACGTCTGACAAGAGGACTCAGGTAAAAGCAGCTTAGGAACACACAAGACTTGGACCGTGTCTTAATCTGAGAACTTGTATTTTGTGATGTGCTATAATTCCCTCCAATCTCTGCTGGCCACACCCACTAGTGGATGCTCCACCCCAGTCCTGTCCTAACATTTACAAAGGGGCCAGTAACTGCCAATCTTTTTTGGGACATCAGGTCCAAACAAATGACTGCCTGAAACGATTCCCTTGGTCTAGCTCTTTAATGGGAATTTTCCATACCATACTCTTCAGTCAAAGAAATGAATAGTTTTTAAAAGTTAACAGTAAATTCTTAATATTTAAAAAATATTTTAAATATTTGTGCTCTTCATTACAATGTAAGTAAAAATAAATTTTATAAACCAAACATTCATTATGATAAATGCACTAAACAGATCCTCTAACTCATTGTCATTCATTTATTCCGGAATGTAGAGAATCTGTAGGTCTTATACCAGCTTCTTGAGGTTTTTGTTTTTCATCTTAGATCCCAGAGCTGAAAGGAAGCTTAGTTCATGAGTTCAGTGGTACCCAAACTAGGCTATGCATCTGAATCACCCATGAAGCTTTGTGTTAATTTAAATAACAAAACAATAAGAGCTAACGTTTATTGATATTTACTAAGTATTTGAGATGAATCATCTCATTTAATCCTCAGAAAACCTCATGAGGGAGGAATTTACTACGATCCTCACTTGCAAGCGAGAAAAACAAAACACAGAGAGTAATAAAACCTTGTTCAGGATTCACCATCCAGAACAGGAGACTAAACATCCTCTGTTGCTTTGTCTGCCCCTCAGGCCCAAAGACATCCGATCTGGCCACTGCAGCAGCCAGGGCAACAGCACTCTCTACTGCACAGGCCTGCAAGACTCCTGGTTGCAAATAACAGGTGTAAACGCTGCCCTCTAAGTCCGAACAGCCCTCCGGTCAGAAGTGAGACAATTACCCATCCCAGGGTCTCCTTGCCGCTGTCCTTGCCACCCCCCAACCCCGCCGCTGACATCAGTCAGCTGAAGCCAGAGTGGCCTTTAATCTGACTCAGTCTCCTCCTTCAAACAAACCCAATCTGCCCCAGCCCCAGCAGTGGCTCCCTGCCATTTGTAGGGCCAGCCCCGCCACTCAGGGCACCCCATGATCGGGCCCTGCCCACCTCTCGGGCCATCTGCCTCCTACAGTGCTCCCCTCCACCTCACTGGCAACACACTCGCCCTCCAGGTTGGTCCCTGCAGCATGTTTACGACCCCCCACTCCTGCTCTGAGCTCCCAGCCTCCCCTGCTATTCAGTCACCCCTGGTATCTGGCAATGTGGGTGGTGGCATCTGTGCAGGTTTTCTGGAGAGATGTGACAGAGACACGATAGGATGCTTTAGGACTTGTGAGAGAAAACGTGGCCAAAGCGTTGAAGTTGGATTGTCTCCACTTTGTGGCTTGTTCAAAGTAGGGCACAGATTCACCCTCTGACGCTTTTTCTTTTCGAATGTGTTAAAACGGGAGTGTAAAATAGGTAACGATGAGGCGTGTCATGTGCACAACTCTGAAAGTCAGCACCCTGTGAAGTTCTACATACGGAGGTACCTTGGAACCACCTCTCTGACCCAGATAGGAATTTCCACCACCCCAGAAGGTTCCTTGACCCACTCCCACCCCGACCAAGTCAATTAGAGGAGGTTCAATATGGCATGGAGTTCATCTCATCTCTGCCAACAGTCAACAGCCTTGACTTTCCCCATTTCTGATTTTATTAAAAATAATAATATAACCAGGAATTCCCTGGTGGTCTAGTGGTTAGGATTCGGCCCTTTCACTGCCGTGGCCTGGGTTCAATCCCTGGTAGGGGAATTGAGATCCCACAAGCTGAGTGGCATACTCAAAATATATATATATATATATATATATATATATATATGCGCATATATACACATACACAGACATATATACACATAAACATATATACATGTATACACACACATACACATATATAAACATATACAAACACACACATACACATATACACACATATATAAACATATATACATGTATACACACATATACACATACACACACATATATACACACATATACACATAAACACACATATACACATAAACATATATACACGTATACACACATACACGCATATATACACATACACACATATATACACACATATATACACATAAACATATATACACGTATACACACATACACACATATAAACATATATACACATACACACATATATACACACATACACACAAATATACACATATACACACATATATAAACATATACACACACATATACACACACACACATATAAACATATATACATATACACATATATATGAAAAACAACAGGAGCTTCCTCCTAGAGTCAACTGGAGTGCACACAGCCTCCTGTGAAGAGGGTCACCAGAACAGCTTCCTCGCCTGCAACTCTGCTTTAGCTCTCCACGACCGACCCTACTCCCCAGCAAGCTGGCCCGTCATCATGCGTCCCCTTATTTACCTGCATGTCAGAGTTGGTAAAGCTGCAGGCTGACAGGTAGTTGGTGTGCATAGCAACAGACTTCTTTTTGGCAGCCATGTTTTCATTTTTGTCAAACGTCAGTGGATACACAGAACACTTATTATCCAAGCCACTAGCACGGAAAGACAGAAGTGTCAAATGTTAATATAGGGCAGTAGAATATGTGTATGCTTTCTCATTCACACAAACTTTTCAAATTGTTCTCCTTTGGCAGTATCATATGCTGTAACCTTTCCCTCAGCTTTTACTTTGAAGACTTTCAAATGTACAGTAAAATTGAAAGAGAAAATAGTACAGTGAACACCCAGATCTCTTCACATACGTTCACTAACTTAACATTTTGCCATATTTGTGGGAGCAAATTCTGAACCATCTAAATACAAGTGGCAGACATGACACATTACATCTAAATACTTCAATTTGCAAATTTACATCTCCTAAAAACAAGAACATATTCTATAATCACTAACTCATTATCACATCTGCAAAAACAAAAATTCCATAACACCGTTTAATAAGCCATCCATATTCAGTCTTTCCCAACTGTCTCCAGGATCCAGGGCCCATTTAGATCCACACATTACATTCTGTTTTTATATCTGTTTTAGAACTTTTAATGGAGGACACATTTTTTTTGTTGTTTAAAATCAGAGAACTTAGGTCAGTTGTGGGGGAGTTTTTGGTGTGGGAATGAGGATGTTGAATTTGAAAATGAGATCACTTTATAGTATAAAAGCTTTTGGAATCTTGAAAATAAATTTGTCAGATCCTTGCATCCAAGAAGAGGTGTACTGAGTTCTGTCCACGCCGACTCCGTCTTCTCCTTTGGGTGAATCCTGTTCAGCTGGGGCTGGTCCCCGGCAAGTTGTAGATCCTTGCACAAGAAGAGGTGTACTGAGTTCTGTCCACGCCGACTCCGTCTTCTCCTTTGGGTGAATCCTGTTCAGCTGGGGCTGGTCCCCGGCAAGTTGTCCTACAGAATGTCACACAGTCTGGATTTGTCATGTTTCTTAATGGTTATATTTAAGTATAACTTTTTTTTTTAAATTTTATTTTATTTTACTTATTTTTGGTTGCGTTGGGTCTTCATCACTGTGCATGGGCTTTCTCCAGTTGCGGTGAGCGGGCGCTACTCTTAGTTGCGGTGCATGGGCTTCTCATTGCACTGGCTTCTCTTCGTTGCAGAGCACGGGCTTCAGTAGTTGTGGCACACGGGCTTCAGTAGTTGTGGCTCGCAGACTCTAGAGCACAGGCTCAGTAGCTGTGGCACACGGGCTTAGCTGCTCCGCGGCATGCGGGATCTTCCCGGACCAGGGTTCAAACCCGTGTCCCCTGCATTGGCAGGCAGATTCTTAACCACTGCGCCACCAGGGAAGTCCCTCAAGTATAACATTTTTAACAATAATATAAATGTGATATATAAAGGTGATATTGTGTTATTTCTTTCTTACTGCTTCACTTTAGGAGTCTTGCAATGCCTCTTGTGTCAAGATTGGTGACGCCAACTTTGATTACTTGGTCAAAGTGGGGACCACCAGATCTCACCATGGTAAGGGTGATTTGTTTGTAATTACAAGCATATTTTGTTTTATTGCGCTTTGCTTTATTGCATTTTTACAACTTGAACGCTTGTGGCAAACTGGAGTCAAGCAAGTCTATTGGTGTCATTTTTCCAACAGCATTTGCTCACTCTGTGTCTCTGTGTCACATTTTGGTAATTCTCACAATATTTCAAACTTTTTCATTATTGTTATATTTGTTATGGTGATCTGTGATCAGTAATCTTTGCTGTTACTATTGTAATGGTTTTGAGGCACCATGAACCATGCCCATATAAGATGGTGAACCTAACCGATAAATGCTGTGTGTGTTCTGACTGCTCCAACTGACCGGCCATTCTTCTCTCTCTCTCCCTCTCCCCAGGCCTCCCTATTCCCTAAGGCACAACAATATTGAAATTAAGCCAATTAATAACCCTACAATAGCATCCAAGCATTCAAGTGAAAGGAAGAGCTGCATGCCTCTCACTTTAAATAAAAAGCCAGAAATGATTAAGCTTAGTGAGGAAGGCATGCTGAAAGCCAAGACAGGCTGAAAGCTAGGCCTCTTGTGCAAAACAGCCAGGCTGTGAAGGCAAAGGAAAAGTTATTGAAGGACATTAAAACTGCCGCTCCAGGGAACACATGAATAAGAAAGCAGAACAGCCTCATTGCTGAAAGGAAGAAAGTGTTAGTGGTCTGGATAGATGAAACCAGCCACAACATCCCCTTAAGCCAAAGACTAATCCAGAGCAAGGCCCTGACTCTCTTCAATTCTATGACGGCTAAGAGAGGTAAGGAAGCTGCAGAAGAAAAGTCTGAAGCTAGTAGAGGTGGTTCATGAGATTTAAGAAAAGAAGCTGTTGTCCATAACATGAGTGCAAGGTGAAGCAGCAAGGGCTGATGTAGAAGCTGCAGCAAGTTATCCTGAAGATCTAGCTAAGATCAATAATGAAGGTGGTACACTAGACAACAGATTTTTAATGTAGACAAATGAGCCTTGTATTGGAAGAAAATGCTATCTAGGACTTTCATAGCTAGAGAGGACAAGTCAACATCTGGCTTCAAAGCTTCAAAAGGCAAGCTGACTCCCTTGTTAGGGGTCAATGCAGCTGGTGACTTTAAGTCGAAGCCGATGCTCACTTACCATTCCCCAAATCTTAGGACCCTTAAGAATTATGCTAGATCTACTCTGCCTGTGCTTTATAAGTGGAACAATAAAGCCTGGGTGACAACACATCTGTTTACAACATGGTTTACTGAGTATTTTAATCCCACTGTTGAGAACTACTGCTCAGAAAAAAAGATTCCTTTCAAAATATTACTGCTCATGGACAATGCACCCAGTCACCCAAGAGCTCTAATGGAGATGTACACAAGATGCATGCTGTCCTCATGCCTGTTAACACAACATCCATTCTGCAGCCCATGGTTCAAGGAGAAATTTTGATTTTCAAGTCATTCTTTAAGAAATACAGTTAGTAAGGCTATAGCTGCCATAGATAGGTTTCCTCTGATGGATCTGGGCAGAGTAAGTTGAAAACCTTTGGAAAGGATTCCCCATTCTAGATGCCATTAAGACCATTTGTGATTCATCGGAAGAAGTCAAAATATCAACATTAATATGAGTTTGGAAGAAGTTGATTTCAACCCTCATGGATGACTTTGAAGGGTTTAAGACTTCAGTAAGGGGTTCAAGACTTCAGTGGAGGAAGTAACTGCAGATATGGTGAAAACAGCAAGAGAACTAGAATGAGAAGTGGAGCCTGAAGGTGCGACTGAATTGCTGCGATCTCATGATAAAACTTGAACGAATGAGGAGTTGCTTCTTACGGATGAGCAATGAAAGTGGTTTCCTAAGATGGAATCTACTCCGTGAAGGTGGCTGAAATGACAACAAAGGATTTAGAATATTAATAGACTTAGTCGATAAGGCAGTGGCAAGTTTTGCGAGGATGGACTCCAATTTTGAAAGAAGTTCTACTGTGGCTATAATGCTATCAAACAGCACTGCATGTGACAGAGAAATTGTTTGTGAAAGAAAGACTCAAATCGGTACAACAAACTTCACTGCTGTCTTACTTTAAGAAATATCCACAGGCAGCCCAGCCTTCAGCAACCACCATCCTGCTCAGTCAGCAGCCATCAACACTGAGGCAAGACCTTCCACCAGCAAAGATTAAGACTCACTGAAGGCTCAGTTGATGGTTAGTATTTTTCACCAACATTTTTTTTTTTTTTTGCGGTACGCGGGCCTCTCACTGTTGTGGCCTCTCCCGTTGCGGAGCACAGGCTCCGGACACGCAGGCTCAGCGGCCATGGCTCACGGGCCCAGCCGCTCCACGGCATGTGGGATCCTCCCGGACCGGGGCACGAACCCGCGTCCCTTGCATTGGCAGGCAGACTCTCCACCACTGCGCCACCAGGGAAGCCCAGCAATAAAGCATTTTTTAATTAAGGTATATACATTTTTTTTTAGACATAATGCTACTGCACACTTAGACTATAGTATAGTGTAAACATGACTTTTATATGCACTAGGAAACCAAAAAATTCGTGTGACTCACTTCATTGTGATATTTGCTCTACTGCAATGGTCTGGAACCAAACCTGCAATATTTCCAAGGTATGCCTGTAATAATAATCTATGGTGTGACACCTTTAGGTCATGTTAATATCCTGTTCCCAACAACCATCATACAATGGCTTTAGCATGATTATCCTTGCTTGAATAAAATATTACTTTATGGTACAAAAGGGTGATCCTCTAATTTGATAATTCCTTCTGCATTTATTAGCTGATATTTTTCTGTAAAGACAAATCCAATCCCTCCTCCTCCCAGTATCACTGCACACCCATGGATTCTTTTTTCTCTTCAACTGGGTTATGATCCATTACTACCATTATTCCATGTGATGCTAAAATTATCCCAGTTTGGAAAGTTGGCAGGGGGCCCTTCAAGCAGCTCCTGTTTCTGTTTGGTAAGATTCCATTAATATGACTTGAGCGTTCCCTTGCTTTCTGGAACAAGAAAATGTCCTAGGCTCACTTTACTCTTTTCCTGCCCCAGACCTACAATCAGTCTTACTCCAAGGAGCTCTGCTTCCATTTAGTGGGGAATGACATTTAGGAGACGCACTCCCATCTGAGGCCCTGGGGAACCTAGGGGACCCCTTTGCCTTTCCAACTGCTTGGAGGTGCAGGTGTAGACTTGGGTAGTCTCTTACCAGTAACTAGCTTTGGCAGCATGTTTATAGATGGTATGAGTGAGAATGATTTGCACTTGGCTGTGACAATGAACCAGGATGCTTCAGACTATGGGCTTCCCTGACTCTCAAGGTGAAACATGTTCTCCTATTCTGAAGCTTCAGAGTAATTTCTGTAGCTCTGTCGGGATACTCACTCACACTTGGGTTTATTTGCATTGCTATGAGAAGCAGAAAGGTTTTGCAATGTGATGCATTTGGTATTGCATCTCTGCTTTAGTACCTAACTCATTCTGTGATCTTTGTTATGTTTTTTAGCCTCTCTAAGCCTCAGTGTTCTTAACTATAAAATGGAGTGGATCCCACCCACCTTTCACAAGGGGCTGTTGTGAAGATAATATAGAGTTCAGAATGGCCCTTGACGCATGATAGAGGCTCAGTAAGTGGTCATTATTGTTGTGTTTATATTCTTGCTTGGAGACAGGTACTATGTTTTATTCATCTTTGAATTTCCCTAGGACACCCAGCCCAGGGCCTTGCACACAGGTGCTCATAGCAAGTGTACAATACCTGAATGAAGGCTTCTTGGTGATATGGCTTCAAATAAAAAATACACATATATGTATATAAAATCAACTGACACATTTTTTTGAGAAGGGAATTGTGTAAATACTGGTGGAGTTTTAGCTTTCAAGTTTGGAACCAACTGAGAGATAGACCCAGATGAAGAGAAAAACACCCTTTTGTCACCTATAACAACATTTAGAGAATACGACACAGGTGTGGATCTGTGTGATAACGGAGTTACAGGGATGTCACAAAGCCATAGCTGGGAAACACTATGTTAGATTATCACTGGAAACTCAAAACGAATCGCAGCATGGTCTGAGTAGGGCAGATGGTGCTTTTATCTAAGATGAGGACTCAGTCTTTCTCAGTTTAGTTTTTCTGCTCTCTCCTCATCCATGGGACTCCCGATATTTTAAAAAGTGCTTTTTCCCAAATATTCACACCTTGAACTTCTACTTTGGTTTTTATATCAGCCTGTGAGACAGCCAATGCAGGCCTTGACCATCTACCACATGCCAGGACCCGGGAAACAGAGATGACAAGAGATTAAGGCACCAGCCATTCCTCCACTCTGTACTCTCTCTGCATCAGGTGTCACCAAAAAAGCTGTCTACCTGGGCCTTGTAAAATTATTCTCACCCCTGACTGTCCCCCTGTCCTGGAAATCCTTCCACTGGGTTTCATGTAGCGAGGGTTAAAATAAGAAATAGCCTACAGAATCATTTTCTGAACTACTGTTGAAGACGTTGTGTGCTATATTATTATATTCATCATATATCACAGAAGGATATACCCAATGTGTTCTTTTTGTAATTTGGTGCTAGACATCTGATATCTCAATAGCAAATACTGAGAAATTTATATAACCCACCCAACTCTATGCATTTGCTAGAATTAATGCCCGATTAGAAACATATTACCCGAGGGTTTTTTAAAATGTAGAGTATTTATCATTCCTACTGAGTACTGAAGAATTAACCTTACTTAATGGAAGGTCTGGCCTTTGCCCTTCGCTACTGGGAGGTGATCTCTAAGGCCCTGGAATGTCCTGTCTGTTGGGAGTGTCTTTGCCTGGGGTTTTGGCCACTGGAGAGTCTAACACTGTGATTTGTGATGGAGGTTTTGGGACACATCCTGTGAGTTCTCACCTCTGAAGGAAGTAGAGACTAAAGATATTAACCTGACCTCCAGGAGAGAGGTCACAGAACAGTACTTTATGGCCAACAGGACATGTGAAACGCTGCTGTGTCACCCATACTTACCCGCATGCAATGGCACATCCCGATGGGGCATACGCACACGCCATCACCCACGTGCAGGGCATCGTGACCGCGTGCTCCTGCAACACAGCACACACCATGCACACAATGAACGAGGGCACTTCTACACAAACGTCAGTTTTTACCAAGTAAAATCACTGAAGCGTCTACCAAATTACTTTCTAGTTTCAAAGGTCAGTGGTTTGGGCTGAGACTGATGAGGAGACTCAGATCCTCTATAATCAACCAAACTTTATGTCATACATTCTAAAAGTTAAAAATCTCAACTAGCAAAAGAATATCCTTAACGTCTTACTTCTTTCTTACTGTTATACTCCCCCTGCTGTTCTGAATGAATATTGGGGCTCATTTTCTTTGAAAGATCTGTCTGAATTTCATTTCACATACGTATATGCTTCACCTTATTTACTCAGATTCCCTCTATTTTAAAAACGTATTCTTGAATGATTTTTTTACATGTATGTTACAAGTTTGTTTACCTGTGAGTGAGTATACAAGAGCCTCTGTCCTCTGTGGGTCTTAAATCATTCCTGGGCAGGTAGGAATGGGGGTGGGCTTGGGGAGGGGGATTAGAGTTGTGCTCTGGGAGAAAAGGAAACCTGTAAAATGGAAGCATTCAGAGGAGGTGTAAGTCCTCAGCTCCTGGCTGGGGTCTGAGTCACCTGTATTCTCCTGCACGCATATAAGCAACTAAGGCATGATTCAAAAACTTCTGAGTCTGTGGCCCTGTTTCCATGGGAGCCATGGAACCTGGTTCTAACACTAGAGAGATGTGCAGCCTCACACAGGCTGGCCATTGTCTTACCTCATTCTCCTTCTCCGTCTGGGAAGGGAGAGGATGGGACTAGATGGTTTGTAAAGTACATTCAAGTGCTGGTCTTCTTTCCTGGTATGATTCTCTGTGTTTTTGTGGGGAGACATGGGCCTTGATACTGCATGTTAAAGTTCTTCGTCACTCACGGAGTAGTAGCCCTTCAGACATCATGAATAACCTACTTCCACGAATGAGTGGCCACTCTCAGCACAGGGCATCCCGGCCCCTTTGCTGACAAGTGATAACTATGGCCCTGCCAGGGACCACAAGTGGCAACCCGATGGCTCCCCAGGCATCAGGAGGCGTGTGCTCTACGTCATGCTAAGGCATAAACAGAAGCAACCCCCTAGCCCCACCCCTGAAGATGCTGAGGAGTTCTGGAGAGGCAGAGTGAAGCCCTCTGCAAATTGTTACATTGTCATTTTTATTATTCCCCAGGGGCCTGACCATTCCAGACTCTGCTCTACAAGATGGTTCTGGGCTCCCTTGAGCAGGCTGTATAACAACTGCCTATTATGACATCTACTGAACACGTTCAATAATGCGGAATAAGGACGCTGTTCAATTTGAGACAGATAATAGGTTTCTTTTTTATACAGTGAAAAGGAAGACTTTCTTTCTAAGTAAACACTGGAGTCCGTATTTAATATACAGTACTTGTTACTGCAAATGCCAACACGATGCAGGCATGCAAGCGCACCTACACATAGATTCTGGCCTTTCTGTTTCATTAGAAGTCTAAACTGAGGTCTCACTTGGAGCAGCAGTACATGCCAATGCCAGACTTGCAAGGGGCTGAGGTTCCACAGCATCCCTGTGAAGAGCAGTTTAATCCCACTGAAGTCTCAGCTCCCCACCCACCGTTTGCTCAAGTCCACGTGCTATGGAGTCTAGTCAAAGACAGAGAGGGGAGAGGAAACTGGGGGTTGGGTACCTCTTATCAGCAGCCAGAAGAAAAATCCTAAATGCAGTAGTAGCATGTGTGAATGTGACAAGTTTCAGGGCCATGCCCTTTCCTGTTTCCATATCGGAACCCTCTATGTTAGCCCTGCATGCTCTTCTCTGGGCAAGGGTTTCGGCTCAATAGAGGAATGAACGCTACAGTGGGCTGCTGAA